CCATAAAAAGTGTCAATTTCTAGTTTTGTGACAACTCAGCTGATGATCTTATGAACCAAAAATAAATAAATAAATAAATAAATCTGCATCTGCTTCATGAGGTCAGTGTTATTTGCAGCCAGTGATATGTGACATACATAAAAACAAAACTGTTAAGTGACAACGTGGAAAAAACACACAAAATAATTTAACAAATTACTATATAAATATTACAAACTTGACCTAAAACCCTGGAAGAACAGATGTGAGGACCCAGTATATCAGGGAAGTCTTAAAGGACAAAACCACAACTCGGTGATTTTATCCTCCCTGACTCAAACTTTCTGAATGTCTCTGCAGTTTTTAGGGTTTAATTTTGAAGATTGTTTYCTGTGAACCTTTGTAGCTTCAGACGGTGTTTGTCAGTCAGTGTTCAGGGACTCCATCAGTGCAGTTCAACGTGCTGAACCCAGGAAGTGTGACCCGTCCCTCCCTGTAGATTTCATCATCTGAGCCCAGGTTCATGCGTTTCACCAGGTTCTTCTCGTACATTAAAGGGTGGTAGGCACCGAACGTGCAGGCGGGGTCATAAATCCGCTCATAGTAGTGGCACAGAAACGTCCTTCTGTGAGACGGCAGGAACTCGTAGACGTGCACCACCTCACACAGAGACATCATCAGGACAAYWCCTGCACAGGAAGAAGAGTAAAACAAGATGATYATTCTTACACAATCAATTCTTGTTTAGTAAATCAGTCTCAAAACAAGATCAAAAAGACTTTTTGGCTGATATAAGATTTTTAAAACTTGGTTAGGTGGACATTTTTTGCAGTGCATAGATTTGGTTGTACTAAAGTCCAGCCTGTTGTCATTAGARCCACGTTGTGGACAGAGTCAGGTTGTGGTAAAACAGCTGGTGTTTGTCATACCCAGGAAGCCAGAAGAGGGTGGGTTCTTCTGAATGGGCTCAGCTGTGTTGTCTTGTATTAGCTGCCAGAGCTGCCAGTTGAAGCCAGGATGCAGGATGTAGAAAGGCTGCTGAGGGTGAAGCTTCTTGTATTTTTGATACCGGGAGAAGATGGGGAACTCTGTGTGATTGTACCACTGTTAAAGAAAAGAATACAGCATGAGTAAAAAGGCTTCAAAACAGTTTTTAGTTTGCAGAAACATGGGTTTCATTATAGTAACGGCAAAATATGCCTTTTTTTTAATTTATTTAACCATCCCCTAAAGCATGGTTTGAAAATGTGCTGAAGTGGGAGTGCCAGAAATGGTAATATGTTCCTAAAGAGACAGAGGCCGATTTCATGGTGTTTAGATGAACTTTGATGCATAAAATAATTTCTTTTTGATATATGCAGCATTGTCATGACAACTGTAAAACACATAATACCCCCCCACCCTCCTTTAGGAATCTGGAAATACATTAAAACATTTCATTTTAACAAAAATCTAACAAATAAAAGCACAAACCCAAAATCATTTTTGCTGTCTTTTGTTCAAAGCACAGAGCAGATGTTGCTTTCAAAAACAAGTGTGATCACATAAATTTTACCTGAGCGAGGCTACAAGAAAAGGGGGCGGGATCCCACGCCACCAGAACACCTGAGTAATCCAAAGACTGGTTCAGGAATTTATGTTTTGACATTACCTGAGAAACACAAAAATACTATTAAAAACAACTAATTGCAATAGAACAGTTTTGGCATCAGGATAAACAATAATCATGGAAGAGCTGTTTGGGATTTATGTTACATGATACATCATTCTACTTGTTGAGGAAAGACGCATTTAAAATCAGTGGAAACAATAAGCAGYGCTTGTTTAAATGCTGAGTGTTGTTGTTTTTGGTGCTTCACCGCGTTGCTCCAATATTTATTTTGGAAAGCTGCTTGTCTCACATCTTTGTTTCARTGTCAGATTCACTCCTTTAATGTTCACTCACTGTCACTGTATCTGTTAATGAACAGATAATGGGGGTCCACCATGTGACTCAAGCTCTCATGGAAGCAAGAACACTTTCAAATACTTTGGCCTAAAACCTTCTGGTGGTTAGAAAGTCCAGAAAAATGAAGATGAASAGAAATTTGATCGTTCAAGACATTCTAACGAGGTGTGAACTTCTGTCCGATGCAGGCGCTCTCACTGATGATAAATAGTTAATTTGAAGATGTCATTTTTGACAAATTAGAAACGACTTTAAACAGAGAAGGATGTATCAAAGTTTATCTAATTGAGCATTWAGCCTRATMCCCAGTCAGTTTTACTCYATCACACCAACTACAGCTTAGAAATGTGTTTTTAGTTTATTTATAGTTATTTGATTTGCCACGTCCTGGMTGACCGACCATCCAGTGTTTTTGTGTTTACCTGTGAGTTGATGACTTGAAGTGTTGTTTTAGACCCAACATCTGTTTCAAAGCCCCTGGTCTGTGCACCGTTGAACCGCACCACTGCATCATGAGAATCTGCAGGTTAAAATAAGTTTAGTTTAAAAGACACTAAACTTTTTTTAGTTGTTGTTGTTTTTCTTTTGGCTAACTCGTACCGATCTCTTTGCCCAGTCGTGAGTTGCGGAGCGACCCTGCTGACGACACCACGGCGCAGCTCTTGTACGGCCCAACATCAGAGGTCAGCTGTGTTCTTGGCAGCTGATTGGCCCAGGGCAACTCTGAGAACGGCTCGAGGTCAGAGGTCAAAGTTGTGACCTCTACTTTTTTCTTAAGTTGGCAGAGAAGCTCAGGACCGGTCAGCTTTGATCGGCCAGAGAGACCAGCAGGMCTGGACACATTCAGTCCATATCTGTTCATCGCCTGACAGAACACAGGTTATTTAACACGATAAAACAAGTTCTACTGATTTTTGATGAATTCATCGAAACTCCAGTTCTGTCAGTAAATCTTACCTGTTGGTTCCGAAACATTTTTTTTAGACCAGCATCCAGCATGTTGTGGGACGTCTCATCATTCCACACCTTGTTGTTCCACAGTTGCATTGATCTGAGAGGTTTAACGACCATATTCCTTGCTTTGTCATTGAGCCCCGCCCATTTCCTCTTTAGCTTCTCCTCTTCACCCTTCAGCTCCTCATTCTTGCCTTTCAGATGTTTATCTTCACCCTCACTACCTTTCAGCTCCTCCTTTTTGCCGTTCACCTCCTTCTCTTTACCCCTCAGCTCTTCCTTACCCTTTGGCCCCTCCTCTTTGCCCTCCAGCTCCTCCCCTTTTCCTTTCAGACTGTCATTTTTACCCCTCAGCTCTTCCTTACCCTTTGGCTCCTCCTCCTCATTGCCCTTTGGCTCCTCCTCTTTGCCCTCCAGCTCCTCCCCTTCTCCTTTCAGACTGTCATTTTTACCCCTCAGCTCTTCCTTACCTTTTGGCTCCTCCTCATTGCCCTTTGGCTCCAACTCCTCATTGCCCTTTTGCTCCTCCTCTTTTCCTTTCAGACTGTCATTTTTACCCCTCAGCTCCTCTTTGCCCTCCAACTCCTCCCCTTTTCCTTTCAGACTGTCATTTTTACCCCTCAGCTCTTCCTTACCCTTTGGCTCCTCCTCTTTACCCTTTGGCTCCTCCTCTTTGCCCTCCAGCTCCTCCCCTTTTCCTTTCAGACTGTAATTTTTACCCATCAGCTCCTCCCTACCCTTTGGCTCCTCCTCTTTGCCCCTCAGCTCCTCCCATTTAAAATAATTTCCATCTTGAACCTAAAGGGGTCACATAGACGATGACGGTGTTTAAAGCCGGATATATATTTGACTATCTGTTAATTAAAATTGCCTATCTTGAATTTTTTTTCTTTCATACAGTATACAGG